GAGGAGGAGGTTCCCTGTGGGTTACACAAACATCAATAACATCTGAGCCAACTATATAAGGGATCTGCTCTACTTTCTCATTTCTATCCAATGTGGGACTTAGACTCATACTTGTATTCCCAACAATCTCCCCCTCAAGGGTGAGTCCCTTCCACATAGGTACACTCCCCCTCCAACGGAAGCATTCCCAACCAACCACAACCATGAGTAGCCCTTCCAATCGTCGTACCTTAACGGAATTTGCTTACCTGAATACCCTAGGAAGACTTTCGGTATAAGGATCGTTATACTCGCCCGAGCTGGTCACTAAGACAAACCATCGGCTCTGATACCACTATTGAGTCTATCAAGGAGGAGGTTCCCTGTGAGTTACACAAACATCAATAACATCTAAGCCAAATATATAAGGGGTCGACACTACTCTTTACCCAAAACCTTAAGGTAATGGGTTAATGGGTCTTTCATCTTTATATACTGTTCTACTTTCTCATTTCTATCCAATGTGGGACTTAGACTCACACTTGAATTCCCAACAAATCATACTTATAGTTTGGGTGTTTGTTTGGACAATGTTCTTTTGCTTTTCTTTAGGCATAACATCATTACTAGGGATGGCAACGGGTCGGGTCGGGCACTGATAGTGCCTACTTGCAACCCGACCCAACAAAAAAAATCCACCTATTACTCAACCCGCTACCCGCACAAATATCCGCTTAAAAAATATCAGTAGATATTTTAAATCCCGTAAATACCCATGAATACCCGCGGATACCCACAAATATTTAAAAAAATATATTTTTATAAATTATTAAAATAAAATTTAATTAAAATTACAAAAAAAATATATAAAATATAATATAAATTAAAATTTAATTTTAATTAAATTTAACCGTATAAAATATAAATTAATGTTAATTTTAATTAAATTTAACTTAATAAAATATAAATTAAATTTTTATTTTTATTTTTTTGCGGGTAGCGGATATTCGCGGGTACGGATAATATAATACCCGCACTCGACCCGTTTATAAGCGGGTACTAAAATATTCGCTACCCGCAACCCGCAGATAGTAAATATCTGCAGGTATTAACTATCCGTCACGGGTTTTAACCACGGATATCCGCGGACGCAGATTTTTTTGTTATACCTAATCATTACTGATGTTTTTACAAGTGGGTATTTGACCCTAGAGGTAGACCTCGAACCCTTTGATAATAAGATATTTGCTTATCCAAATCTTATTTCAGTAAAAAAATTATTTTGGATTATTTTATATTTGCGTCTTTGATTTATGTGTGTGTTTATGCTTAAGATCTTCTTGAATTTATGGTCGAATTCTATCTAAGAAGTGGAGGATGACGATGCATTGATCAGGTCTAGGAAAATAACAACTTAAGAAAAGGACCTTCTACAAGAAGTCATCCACCTCATGGAATGATAAGGAGAAATAAAAGGAGGGAGCTACTTCTACCCACTACCAAACTTAAGGAGAAGGAATCTTCAAGTGGAATGAATTTGAGCACAAATTATCTACAAAAAATAATATATGATAGAGGACTATCCCATGATTCAATACATAGGAGAACGAATCTTCAAGTGATATGAATTTGAGGATAAATTCTCAATAAGAATGAGAGTATGATAGAGGACTATCACCTGATTCAATAAAAGAAGAACATGAAGAGCAACCTTTGCGATTTAAAGAACATTAAGACATGAAGATCATGGCTTAGAACACAATTATAGAATAGTTATAGGCAATTAAAATTATTGTAATTTTCTTTTAATTTAAAATAGTTTGTAACTGTCACTAGACGAAAGAACTCGCTAGGCGACAAGTCTATTTTTAAATTTTCATGTTATTTTTTAGTTTGATAGCTTTGGACTTTTTTTTAGGATTTCTTAATTTGTTTAAACATTTGTGACTATATATAAGAACACCTTAGATGGTCATTATATAAAAAATGATTTTTCGTTGAGCGATGATTTTCTTGGTTTTTGGATTAAAACTCTAGTTATTATCAAATATTGAATTTTTTTTGTAACAAATCTTCTTTGACTTATAATTGGCATTTTCAACTCTAGTTCTTATAAAAAATAAAAATCTTTGAGACGAATGTTCGTTAGCTCATCAATATGCTAGAGTATGACATCTATATCTCTATCTTATTTTGCATTCTTCTCTACTTTATCATCACTCCATTATTTATCCTAGACAATGTGAAATTGTGAAACTTTCAATGATGAATTATTTTCAAGAATCCAATAGTTAAATACATAAAACCTAATTCATGAACTTGCAATTTATCTGTACCAATATTCAAACTTTAAATACAAACTTTCTCTTGGTAAGAATAGAATAAGACCACACGTACTCTATCAATTGTTAATAAAAGATAATAGGAATTTTTATAAATAAGATCACATCCTCTAACACAAATTAACTTCGGGGGCTAAAATGCATGTCTGTACTTTCCATTCTGTCAGTTCCGATTAGTGATATCCTGTCGTCGTAGACTTCAATGTATCCAAATGCACTCGTACCAGGAGGACATTCCAAAGCAGCCTCAAAAACTCTATGGTGTATCCCATGAGAATCAATGGAGTATCCACCTATATGATCATGCCCTGCGAGACAGGCCTTAACGCAATTGTATCTGTGTATCAAATTCATTACTTCATCATAATTCCACAACAGTGTATCCAAATTTGCCGCACCAGTATCCAGAGGCAAATGGCAACAGACAATCACCTTCTGATTCAATATTGTCGCATCCAGGAGAACTCCATCCAACCATTCCATCTGTTCCTTTCCAAGACCCCCATTAAACATGAGAAACCTTCTTTCAGGCCCCTCCAAATTATCTGGACTGTTCATATTTTCATTTGGATTCTTCTCCCGAAGGATTTTCATGGCCTCCAATGTTTTGGGATGATCTTGTGGCCAACCAATGGCACTGATGTCATAGGCATCCAGAACTACAAATCTATATTCAGGCACCGGTGAAAAATCATAGTATGCACGGCCATCAAGACTTTGGATCTTCAATAACGGAAGCAACTGGCTGCGAGGGAGATTGTATAGGCAGTGATTTCCAATCATATGATACACAGGTCCCCCCTTGAACTTCTCAAATTCGTCCACAACTTTCTGTACAGTACCAAGAGATTGATCTTTGGGACAAAACCCATCAACAATATCTCCAAAATTAATCACAAACATATGCTTCTGATGAGTATTCCATTCTTTAACTGCTCTCTGCAACACAAGAATACTGTGCCTATAATATCGTGGAACACCAAGGAATGAGCGACCATCAGGAATATCAGCATATTGGACATCAGAAATCAATCCAAAAGAAAAAAGTGGTTGCTTAGTAGTTAGACCACGAGAAGAAACCATGGCGTCTATCTCTACGTGCCCCTATCACACATTAAACATTTATAAAGTCAACAAAGCAGTACTTTCCAAGAGTAATCTGGTCTAAATTTACTCAAACTGGAACCAGTCATCAAATTGTCACCTCAGCAACTATTCAGATAATCAGAAGGTAAAGAATACAAACCGCAAACAAAAAAAAAGGCAAAATGTTAAGTTGCTAACTTAGCCTGTGTTCAAGTTATCTGTTCCTAAGATTTTCTTATGAAAAGTAGTTCCAACCCCATCTAACTTTCATGTGGTCAAGTTCATCAAACCAAGATTAGAAAATGCAGTTTCCATTCATCATCTAACATAAACATAAGTAGTATATTAAACCTGTATTTATTATAAATTAAAACATTTGAGATGAATTTCCTGTTTCACCCATGAGGACAAAATAACTAACAAACACAAAAGAAAACATAGGCGGTTAGTGAATGAGAAAACAACCTCACTCCTGCTCTAAGTGTTTCATCCTGTGTCCGAGTAACTTGGGCGTTCGGTTATGTCACCGAACACATTTTTCAATCCTCTTCTTTCTTTATTTTGTAGGTTTATAGGGAATTTTGATTGAAGGGTTAGATATCTAAGGTTTTTAATTAGATAAACCTGCTTAGAAGTACTGGTTAAACCTAATAGAAGAAAATGAAAAGAAAATGAAATAAATTTATTCATATGTATAAATTAATTCATAAAAGCTTTCTCGCTAATCTTCTCTAAAATGATTATCTAAAAAATTAATTCATAAAAACCGTGTGATTCATGAAGCATATCTGAAAAATTAGTAGATCTTAAACTCAATTCGCCAAGGACAAGAACACAAGCTGATGGACAAACTCAAATAAGAAAGATCACTAGAAGAATTAATTAGAACCTCACTTAACCGCATCAGAAATTAAATTTTCCTAAAAGCCCAAAATTTACTTAGAACTTGATAACTGCGTTGTTAGGCGAACACTCATAAAGAAATTGGTCTGGGTTCAGAGCAGCATACAGAGAATCGAACAGAGAAATCGAGATACGTACCTGAGTCAAGTAATTTGAAAATGCAAATATTTTGTTGAAAACAGAGGCGGAGCAATGGCGTGAAGGTTAGGAAGAAGTTACTCAACCTCCATTGTC